TCCAACTACCATGACATATTAAGGAAAGCATGGTAATGGGACTGAAATGGTGAATGTATGTAGGGCACAACTGTAAAAAATTACGTTATCTTGTTTATTTTGAAGTCCTGTTTAAGAACAGTTTGACAACTTACCTGGGGTCTGCTGGGATATGGGTCTGTAGTAGGGTATAGGAGCAGTGGTGCAGTGTGTGTGAAAGGTTCAGTGTGTGTGGGTGGTGGGTGTAGTGTGTGAATGTGTAGGGTGTGTGGGGCAATGTGTGTATGGGGGGGCTGTGTATGTGTGTGTAGCAATGTGTGTATGGGGGACTGTGTATGTGTGTGTGGGGCAATGTTTGTATGGGGGCAGTGTGTAAATGTGTATGGTGTGTGTATGGGGGGGGTGTGTATGTGTGTGTAGCAATGTGTGTATGGGGGGGGCTGTGTATGTGTGTATGGGGCAATGTGTGTATGGGGCTAGAGTTCACTCTCACCACTGCGACCATCAGGAATCCCCGGTGGTCGCAGTGGTGAGAGTGAACTCTAGCCCGTAGCTCCAGAGCTAGAGTTCACTCTCGTGAGAGCCGGAGTGTTGCTCACGTGAGAAGGACCCAGAGGAGCTGCAGGCTGAGCTCCCGGATCCTCTCTTCCTCCCTCCCCTGCCGGCTGCCCACACGGTGCCTGTGGAAGGGAGGCCTCTTGGGGGGAGGGAGGAATTGCCCTGTTGCCTCCCCCCCCAGGATCCACCAGTGATATATACAGCACCTATGTGTGCCTTTTTGTCTCCCCCAGTCCCTCTGTATGTTTCTTTCTCCCCCTCACTGCTCCTCTGTGTCCATGTCTCCCCTCTCCTTCCCAGTCTCTCTCTTCCCCTTTGCCTCTTTATCCCCTCCTCTTGTGTGTCTCTCTCCTTTCTCCCTCTCTCTCTCGCTTCCCCTCTGTCTCTTTCTCCCCCCTTTCCCTGTCTTTCTCTCTCCCCCACATCTCTCTTCCCCTGTCTCTTTTTCCTCCCTCCACCATCTCTCTATTCCCCCTTTTTCTCCCCCTGCGTCTCACTCCCCCCCCTGTCTCTTTCTCCATCTTTTCCTTGTGTCTATCCCCCTCTGTTTTATTTTGCCCCTCCCCTTGTGTCTCTTTATTCCCTGTCTTCCCCCTCCCATTTACTTGAGAGAAGTCAGGGGGGCCGGCCGCGTTCCACGCTGGAGCCACTGGCCGGGTGGCAGCCTCGCCGGTCTGGCAGTACACCTGTCACTTATGCTGAGGGCTGAAGGAGGAGGGAGCGTGTCTATCTACCATGCTCCCTTGCGGTTCCCACAGTTCCCAGCACGGCATTCTGATACAGCAAACTGTGTGGGAATTGTGGGAACCCGCGAGGGAGCATGGTAGACAGGAGTGCCGCCGGATCACCGAGGCTGCCACCCGGCCTGACGGCTCCAGCGTGTAATGCAGCCGGCCGGCTCCCCTCAGAGTGTGCCACCGGACCGGCCACCCAGTGGCACATACATGTGCAGCGTAGCCCCCAGATGCCACGGCCCACCGGGAAATTTCACGGTATCCGGTATATTTGCATAAGGTAAATGCCAAGCTTTTTTGTACCATGCCCTGGTCTTCCTCAGTATAAAATAGGGTTGCAGCAGTTGGTCAGACAGGTCAACCTTCCCCATATGCTTGTTGTACTGCCTAATGCAGACTGGCACCAGTCTAGTTTCTTGACTGCCATGAACTGCATCTCTTTGAGTGTGTTCAGTATGCATGGATGTAAGCATGAACACCTCCTTTTTATCTTTGAATTTCAGAGCCAGCAGTTCGTCCTGGCAGATAGCAGCAGTTTCCCCCCTCTTGAGCTTTTTTTGTGTCAGGGCATTTGGGAAACCGACACGTGTTTTTCGGATAGTGCCGCCAGCCACAGTTTCAAAGCAATAAAGCATCCTAAGAAGAGGGATGCTGTTGTAGTAGTTATATATATATAAATGATACCCCTTGTTTAGCAATGGGTTAATTAGATACCATACAATTTTCCCACTAGTCCCATTGATATCCGGGCAACCTGGGCGATCCAAGTGGCTGTCTTTACCTTCTTAAACATGGAAGGTGTAAACATAACCACTGGTACTTTCACAAAGTTTATATAACTTTATCCCATACCAGGATCTTTTGGCCGGGAAATATTGCTTAAACCCCAGTCTGCACTTGTATTTCATTAAAGACTCTTCTACACAAATATTTTTTTGTGGGGTGTACATTGAGCCAAACTGTTTGTTTAAGTGGGATATTAGGGGGCGAATCTTATAGAGGTTATCGTACTGAGGATTATTTCTTGGGGGGCACTTTGAATTGTTGCTGAAGTGTAAAACGCAAAGTATTGCTTTGTATCTGAACCTATTTATGGTCTGGGAGTAAATAGGGGTGCTGCATACAGGATTTTTGGACCTGTACATCCTGATACAGTTTGTTTTTTTAATATTTCCCATTAGCATAGTTGGTGCCCAATTTTTTTTTTATTCTGGCGCACTGATGGGGTACCAACTCCCTTTCCTGGCGATGAGACTCTGATCATTAAATGTCAGGTACTGCACAGCATAAATGTTGGTCTGGGTGACGATATCCCCTAAAATATCACCCCCCAAGTATAGCTGCATGAAATCCAGTGCACTGTAGTTAGCCAAGGCAAATGAATTCCAGGACTACCAGTAAACTCTGGAATGTCAGGCGTAAAATCATTTAGGGGTTCCCAGTCACCAGCGTCATGAGCCATGTCAGGGGACTCTCAGAGGCAGTGTCTGTGGCGTCAGAGTCGGCTGCTAAAATATCATAGGCCTAGCAGTGTACCTTCTAGATATTGTGAAACTGTAACTTTAACTCAGTTTTTCTAACTTTTTTCTTTTTTCTATACTTTTTTCTTTTTTTAAAACTTTTAAAAACTTTTCAAAGCTTTTAGTCCCTAACTAGCCTAACAATTCCCCACTAAAGTTCACCCACTCCAGCTAACTAAAGAATCAACGGCAAATTAATAAAACAACAAAATAAATAAAATTAATCCCTAAGGGTTAAAAAAAAAAAAGAAGAATTAACCCTTGAGGGTAAAACAAAAATGTAGATCACAGTTAAATACTGTGATCAGTACACTGATCACTGCAGGCAGTGATCAAAAGGGCAAGGAGAGGGTTAATACTATTTTAAAACATAGCTACAGTTAAACCTAAAATGACACACAATGTTGCAGCACCGATCTGTCTCTCTCCACTTCTCAGCACACACAGAGGGGGAGGGATTGAGGAGGATCAGGAATCCCAGCAGCACTGTGATCGCTGTGACTGACTGTCACAGCGATCATGAGCTGGGACAGCGCTACTGGCGGTTGCTGGTCTGCCTGTGACATTGACGCACCCAGCAACAGCGTTAACCCCACGATCGCCGCAATCTGGTGTTACCGTTAGTAAATGACGGAAATTTTCCATCAAGGGTCCTTAACGCAAGGACAAGCTTGACAGAAAATTTCTGTCTTTGGTTGGGAGGGGGTTAAAAGAAGGCAACCTAAGGTATTAAACTTGGGGTATTTTGACTCTTTTCATGCAGCCATTTTACCACCAATCTATGCCAAATAAAAATTTAAAAAAAAAACCTATGGTTGATTCTTTTGACACACACAGCAATTTAAGAATACATGTACTGAGAACTTTAAGGGTTACCCCCCAGCAACATCTCCTGAGCACAGTGATACCACCCGTGTATACGTGTGTCGGGTTCTCTCGGGGCTAAAAGACCTTATTTGGAGGATGCACATTCCAGTTTCACAGCTGGTCATAATGCACCCATGTCCTATTTGGGACATTTTTGAAGTCGGCCCAAGTAATTTACCCCCATCAAACCATATATTTTTGAAAAGTAGACACTCTAGGGTATTTCAAATAATGGTATTTTAACACTTTCCATGCAGTACTTCTACCACCAGTGTTTGTCAAACTTTTGGGTAGTCATTTTTTTGTGTTATTTTTCTCTCACATTGTACTTTAGGCATGGATTCTCAGTTCCTCTTATGTGTTACTGACAAAGAACACCCCAATATGTGTTCAGTAACATCTCCTGAGCACAACAGTGCCCCCAATGTTCAGGTTTTATGGATTTTTGCAATCTTACAGGGGTCAAATGTAGGGCTTTCCCCTTTTCCATGTTTGCACATTGAAATTTGCCAGTTTGGTTTGCTGGGCCTATGTTGCCTTTGAGACCGTATAGCAGCCCAGGAATGAAAATTAACCCCATCAAGGCATACCATTTGTAAAAGTAGACAACCCAAGGTATTGAAAATGGGGTATGTCCAGTCTTTTGTAGTAGCCACTTAACCACAAACGATTGCCAATGTAAGCGTTCATATTTGTTTTTTTCCATTTTTTTCTTTACACAAAAACTGCACTTTTACTGGTGATTTCATCGTCGTGATAAGTTTTACTGTTTTAAACACTCATATTTGTGTTCAGCGAAGTCTCCTGAGTATAACAAAACCCCACATGTACAGGTTTTATGATGGTTTGGAAAGTTCCTTGGTCAATATAGGGCTTGCCTAGTTTAGTTTGCCAGATTTGTTTGCTGGGTCTATGTTGCCTTTTGAGACCATATGGTAGCCCAGGAATGTGAAATAACCCCATCAGGGCAAACCATTTTCAAATGTAGACAACCCAGGTTATTCAAAATGGGGTATTTCCAGTCTTTTGCAGTAGCCACTTAGTCACAAACGCTGGCCAAAGTTAGCATTTTATTTGTTTATAAATGTTTTTTTTTGTTCTAATTCATATTTTATATATATATATATTTATTTATATATTGTGCCAAATGATAGCCGCTCACCAGTCTTATAAAAATCCAATTCTTTATTTAATTCAAGTTAAAATCAGAGACAAATTGGGCTCTGATTTTAACTTGAATTAAATAAAGAATTGGAATTTTTTTTTTTTTTTAAATCTTTATTTTGGTGTGCATGGTGATTAGTACATACAAGCTCTTGGTGCCCCAACAGCAATCCTCGAGCATTTTGTCTAGCATTACATTAGGAGCAATAGAGTAATGAGCACATTTTTATATATTAACAGATTCATAACAGGAACATTCTATCAGATTGTGTATAGGGTATAGTTAGTGGGCATTTAGTCACAAACGCTTACTGTCATGTTGTCTGAGATACGTGAGCATTTTGTGGCGGCTGGTGTAAGTAGTATGGTTCGTTTAACCGCTAGTGCCTCTCATGATGGGTCAGCCGTTCCTCCGTGTAGTTAAGCGTGAAATACATGTATATGCAAGCAAAAACATGCCAAGCTTACTGGTTAGCTAAGCAAATGTATAAGAGCTTAGCAAGATGAGTTTAACACTCCACAGGTACTCATACCTGTACATCAGGTTTCGGAACAGTGAGAGACAACATCTGCGCCTGTTCAGTTGCCTGAGTGAACAGAGAATAATCAGCGGAGAGGCGAAGTGGTGTATTATAAGTATGTCTATACTGCCTCTGTGGTAACTGTGAGTGAGAATATATAGTTAAGTACCTGCTGGGCTGATTAAAGAAAGGTGGAGTATATCTCTGGTCTGAGTGAGTAAATAATAAGCTACTGCATGGCGTGCCTAACTTAGACTAGAATTGGAATTTTTAAAGACCGGTGAGCGGCTATCATTTGGCACAATGTATCTTTGGAGTCCAGGCCTTGGCATCCGGCAATTTTTAACCTACTAAGCGTGAGTGCGGGGGATATTGTTGTTTATATATATATATATACACCCTGTTCCAAATTATTATGCAAATTCTATTTAAGTGTCACAAAGATTAAATATTTTGTTTTTCAGTTTACCTCATGGATGGCATTGTGCCTCAGGGCTCTTTTGATCACTGAAAACAATCTGTGAGCCCAATTTAAGGAAAAACTACTAAAGGAGGGTGTTCCACATTATTAAGCAGAGCACCATTTTCATGTAATATGGGGAAGAAAAAGGATCTCTCTGCTGCCGAAGAGAGTGAAATAGTTCAATGCCTTGGATGAAGTATGAAAACATTAGATATTTCACGAAAACGTAAGATCATCGCACTATTAAGAGATTTGTGGCTGATTCAGAGCACAGACGGGTTTGTGCAGATAAAGGCACATTGAGGAAGATTTCTGCCAGATCCATGCATCGGATCAAGAGAGCAGCTGCTACAATACCATTACATAGCAGCAAACAGATATTTGAAGCTGCTGGTGCCTCTGGAGTCCCACGGACATCAAGGTGTAGAGTCCTCCAGAGTCTTGCAACTGTGCATAAACCTTCTATTCGACCACCACTAAACAATGCTCACAAGCAGAAACGGCTGCATTGGGCATAAAAATACATGAAGGCTAATTTTCAAACAGTCCTGTTCACTAATAAGTGCCGTGCAACCCTGGATGGTCCAGATGGATGGAGTAGTGGATGGTTGGTGGACGGCCACCCTGTTCCAACAAGGCTGCAACGCCAGCAAGGCGGTGGTGAAGTCATGTTTTGGGCCGGAATCATCGGAAGAGAGCTGGTCGGCCCCTTTAGGGTCCCCAAAGGTGTAAAGATGACCTCTGCAAAGTATGTGGAGTTTCTGACTGACCACTTTCTTCCCTGGTACAAAAGGAATACAGTGTATGTATATTTTATTTATAGAATAAAATCTTCATGCATTACAATGCACCATCTCATGCAGCAAAGAATACCTCTGCATCAATGGCTGCTATGGAAATAAAAGGAGAGAAAGTCATGGTGTGGCCTCCATCCTCCCCTGATCTCAATCCTATTGAGAACCTTTGGAGCATCCTCAAGCAAAAGATCTGTGAGGGTGGGAGGCAGTCTACATCCAAACAGCAGCTCTGGGAGGCTATTCTGACATTTTTCTCACAAATTCAAGCAGAAACTGTCCAAAAACTCACAAGTTCAATGGATGCAAGACTTGTGAAGCTGCTATCAAATAAGGGGTCCTATGTTAAAATGTAACGTGACCTGTTAACATGTTTAAAAAGTTAAAATGTTGTTATAAGTTTGATTGAAATAGCTTTTGATTTCAGTAAATATGCTGCAAACACAACAAATGACAATTTTCAGTTCTTTACAATCTATAAAGTGTTTTGAAACTTACTGTCAGTAATAATTTGGAACAGTGCATTGTAAGTTTTTTATGTTTGTTCAATAAAATTTGAATTGTACTCTTAATAGTGATAAATGATAAATGATAACATGAGAATTATGCTGACTGTTATTTACATCAATTATTTAGGTAAATGAGAAAAATATAATTTGCATAATAATTTAGAACAGGGTGTATACATATATATATATATATATATATATATATATATATACATACACACACAGTCACACATATAATTTGTGTATATAATACATATGTGTGTGTGTGTGTTGATGGCTTCCGATGCTCTGCTCTACACTGACGGGCGCCACGTGGGGCAACCCGGAAGTGATCACTTCAGGGGGAGCGATCACTTGGGTGCCCGGCAGTGAGACGGCACTTCCAGCTCTCAAATTTGCCGCAGACGTATCAGGTACGTCTGTGGTCCCTAAGGACCGTTTTTTGTTGGACGTACCTGATATGTCCGTGGTCGGGGAGGGGTGAAAGACACTAGATTAGATAGGAAGAAACAGAGAACAGAGCCTGAGAGAGGGAGAGAAGAGGAAACGATAAGGGAAAGGTTCGGCGTGACAGTGCCGCTTTAACTGTATGGTTTGTAGGCAGGGACACAGGCTGCCACTTATCATATACCACGGCACACAATCGCTGCAGCTCTGCTGAACTAGTTAAAAGGTGCGCCATGTTCCTACAGCCTTTACATGGGCTGTGACTGATGGGCTTGTGGGATCATTTAATTCAGGCTCCTCCTTCCTTCATATAAAACATGTCTGCTTCACCTGCACGAGGGAGCCTCCAATTGCTACCCTATAAAACAATGTGTTTCACTGGAACACGAGACTCCTCTATATAAACTCTACTGCAATACTACTGCTAAGCACCAGTGCTGAGTTCACATGTTATCAAGTGCTATATAAATAAAATATACACACACTGTATACCTACCTCACTTACTGTACCTCCCTCCACTGTAATGTGACCTGTTAAGTGCTGCGTACACCTGTTAGCACTATATAAATAAAATAAACACACACTGTTTACCTACCTCACTTACTGTACCTCCCTCTACTGTAATGTAACCTGTAAAGAGATGAGTACACCTGTCAGCGCTATATAAATAAAATATACATACACTGTATACCTACTGCACTTACTGTACCTCCCTCTACTGTAATGTAACCTGTTAAGTGCTGAGTACACCTGTTAGCGCTAAATACACTATACATACACTGTATACCTACTGTACTTACTGTACCTCCCTCTACTGTAACGTAACCTGTAAAGTGCTGAGTACACCTGTTAGAGAGCTATATAAATAAAATATACATACACTGTATACCTACTGCACTTACTGTACCTCCCTCTACTGTAATGTAACCTGTAAAGTACTGAGTACACCTGTTAGCGCTATATAAATAAAATATACATACACTGTATACCTACTGCACTTACTGTACCTCCCTCTACTGTAATGTAACCTGTAAAGTGCTGAGTACACCTGTTAGTGCTATATAAATAATATACATACATTGTATACCTACTGCACTTACTGTACCTCCCTCTTCTGTAATGTAACCTGTAAAGTGCTGAGTATACCTGTTAGCGCTATATAAATAATATACACACACTGTATACCTACTGCACTTGCTGTACCTCCCACTACTGTAATGTACCCTGTAAAGAGCTGAGTACACCTGTTACTGCTATATAAATAAAATTTACATACACTGTATACCTACTGCACCTCCTTCTACTGTAATGTAATTACTGTTAAGTGCTAAGTACACCTGTTAGAGCTATATAACTAAACTATACACTGTATACCTACTGCACTTACTGTACTTCCCTCTCCTGTAATGTAACCTGTAAAGTGCTGAGTACACCTGTTAGAGAGCTATATAAATAAAATATACATACACTGTATACCAACTGCACTTACTGTACCTCCCTCTACTGTTATGTAACCTGTAAAGTGCTGAGTACACCTGTTAGCACTATATAAATACAATATAAATACACTGTATACCAACTGCACTTACTGTACCTCCCCCTACTGTAATTTAACATGTAAAGAGCTGAGTACACCTGTTAGCGCTATATAAATAAAATATACATACACTGTATACCTGCTGCACTTACTGTACCTCCCTCTACTGTAATGTAACCTGTAAAGTGCTGAGTACACCTGTTAGCGTTATATAAATAAAATATACATACACAGTATACCTACTGCACTTACTGTACCTCCCTCTACTGTAATGTAACCTGTAAAGTGCTGTGTACACCTGTTACTGCTATATAAATAAAATATACATACACTGTATACCTACTGCACTTACTGTACCTCCCTCTACTGTAATGTAACCTGTAAAGTACTGAGTACACCTGTTAGCGTTATATAAATAATACATAGATAAAATATACATAGACTGTATACCTACTGCACTTACTGTAAAATAACCACAAATAATCACACCCAGTAGTACACAATCACACACGCTATAAAATGGTTACGGTAATGATGAGATTCAATAAACACACACAGTGCATTTTGTAAATGCCGAGAAGTCAGTTCTACAGGAGAAGGAAGGAAGTGATTTGTATTACAGCAAAGGAATCTTAGACATGTTGGGAGAAGTGACTCATCCCGGGCCTAACAGGGTCCTTCTAACTAACAGAAATAAACCACCTCTTACATACAGAGAGAGAGAGCGAGAGAGAGAGTGAAGCAGTCTCTTAATAGAGAGACAGAATTCAGAAGGACTGTAATGGTTGCGTGCACAGATCATGTATCACAGTTTGTGTGTGTTTCCAGGTAATGTGTGAAATGCGACATTATTGTCAGTCACAGATTGCCTTTATTTAGCAGCTATCCACCCCATTAGTACGTCCAGTAACACGGCTCTCTGCACACATTAACATAGCGGTACGTCCAGAAACACGGCTCTCTGCACACATTAACATAACGGTACGTCCAGTAACACGGCTCTCTGCACACATTAACATAGCAGTACGTCCAGTAACACGGCTCTCTACACACATTAACATAGCGGTACGTCCAATAACACGGCTCTCTGTACATATTAACATTGTGGTACGTCCAGTAACACGGCTCTCTGTACATATTAACATGGTGGTACGTCCAGTAACACAGCTCTCTGCACCCATTAACATGGCGGTATGTCCGGTAACACGGCTCTCTGTACATATTAACATGGTGGTACGTCCAGTAACACGACTCAATTAACACATTATCATGTCGGTATGTCCAGTAACACGGCTCTCTGCACACATTAACATGGAGGTACATCCAGTTACACGACTCTCTGTACATATTAACATGGTGGTATGTTCAGTAAGACAGTATGTACAGTAACACAGCTCTCTGTACATATTAACATGGTGGTACGTCCAGTAACACAGCTCTCTGCACATATTAACATGGCGGTACGTCCAGTAACACTGCTCTCTGCACATATTAACATGGCGGTACATCCAGTAACACGGCTCTCTGCACATATTAACATGGCGGTATGTCCAGTAACACGGCTTTCTGCACATATTAACATGGCGGTACATCCAGTAACACGGCTCACTGAACACATTAACACGGCGGTTCGTCCAGTAACACGGCTCAATGAACACATTAACAAGGCGGTACGTCCAGTAACACAGCACTATATGTTCAGTGTCCATTTCATATAATCATTAATTGAATGGGGATATAAACAAATGAGTAGAAGTAATAGAATAATCTAGATATATTTATCTATAATGAACGCAGCAGCGACGCTCATTTTCCTGTCCGACCGCACCTCTCACGCCTTCCCACTCTGTCAGTCCCTGCATTGGCTTCCAGTTAGATATAGGGCTCAATTTAAAATTCTGGTGCTTGCTTACAAGCCCCTACATAATGCTGCTCCAACCTACCTATCCTCCCTATTACACAAGTATGTCCCGTCGAGGTCCCTACGCTCTGCCGAAGACCTACGTCTATCCTCTGTCCATACTCCCACCTCTAACGCTCACCTCCAAGACTTTTCCAGGGCTGCACCTCTTCTGTGGAACTCCCTTCCCTTCTCCGTAAGAATGTCACCCAATCTCCACTCATTCAAAAAAATAATTGAAAACTTACTTCTTCAAGAAAGCATATCAATTAAACTGTTAGCAGGTTTTCATCCCCACCCTCCATGACTCCTCCACTGCTACTGTCAAAAATTACCTTCTAAGCCCTCAATTAATACTTTTCTAACAACCTACTTCGTACCCCTAATTTTACCCTTTGTGTCACTATACCCCACTCCCTCTAACATGTAAACTCACTGAGCAGGGCCCTCAATCCCTCTGTTACTGTGTCACTATACCCCACTCCCTCTAGCATGTAACCTCACTGAGCAGGGCCCTCAATCCCTCTGTTACTGTGTCACTATACCCCACTCCCTCTAGCATGTAAACTCACTGAGCAGGCCCTCAATCCCTCTGTTACTGTGTCACTATACCCCGCTCCCTCTAACATGTAAACTCACTGAGCAGGCCCTCAATCCCTCTGTTACTGTGTCACTATACCCCACTCCCTCTAGCATGTAAACTCACTGAGCAGGCCCTCAATCCCTCTGCTACTGTGTCACTATACCCCACTCCCTCTAGCATGTAAACTCACTGAGCAGGGCCCTCAGTCCCTCTGTTACTCTGTACCTATACCCCACTCCCTCAAGCATGTAAGCTCACTGAGTAGGGCCCTCAATCCCTCTGTTACTGTGTCACTATACCCCACTCCTCTAACATGTAAACTCACTGAGCAGGCCCTCAATCCCTCTGTTACTGTGTCACTATACCCCACTCCCTCTAACATGTAAACTCACTGAGCAGGCCCTCAATCCCTCTGTTACTGTGTCACTATACCCCACTCCCTCTAACATGTAAACTCACTGAGCAGGGCCCTCAATCCCTCTGTTACTGTGTCACTATACCCCACTCCCTCTAACATGTAAACTCACTGAGCGGGGCCCTCAATCCCTCTGTTACTGTGTCACTATACCCCACTCCCTCTAACATGTAAACTCACTGAGCAGGGCCTCAATCCCTCTGTTACTGTGTCACTATACCCCACTCCCTCTAACATGTAAACTCACTGAGCAGGGCCCTCAATCCCTCTGTTACTGTGTCACTATACCCCACTCCCTCTAACATGTAAACTCACTGAGCAGGGCCCTCAATCCCTCTGTTACTGTGTCACTATACCCCACTCCCTCTAACATGTAAACTCACTGAGCAGGGCCCTCAATCCCTCTGTTACTGTGTCACTATACCCCACTCCCTCTAACATGTAAACTCACTGAGCAGGGCCCTCAATCCCTTTGTTACTGTGTCACTATACCCCCACTCCCTCTAACATGTAAACTCACTGAGTTCAGCTTGAGTCTGCAATAAATTATAGCTAATTATGCAGAATCCCTTCACTGTGGATAACATCAGTAACCCATTGTGTGGGGGAATCCCTTCTCTCCAACTATTTCCTTGAAATAAACAATCTTAGTCACTGACCGCTGGGGGGAGAGCCCCCTCCAGAACCCACAGCTTTCTCCTAAATATAATATGAGATCCCCCCTTTAGAGACCCATCCGGGAAATGAGCCCCTAACCAGGAAAGTTCTGGGCCTATTGTTATAGCTGGATCTGGGGGAGCTGTAAGTCTGCAGTGTGAGGCGCTCATATACTGAGGGGTTTTCTTAATAAAAACCTAATATACGTTGAACCGGCTATATAATCAAATTCCTTATAAGTGAAGGAAAATCGGGAGCAAGCACTAACTCAAAAATGTATTTACTAAGGATTTATTTATTAAGGATAGTTTGTGGGGTGCAGAGTATATCAGTGTACATATTTTGGGGTACACTGTGTAAACTGTTATGAGTATATTGCGCAGTATATACTAATGCAGATCATTGCGTACAATAAGATATTGACTGGACGAATTGGGGTAAAGGAGGTCTTTGTACAAATGGTTTATGGTCTCTGTATATAGTTTAATGGATGGTGGGGAGGTCTCTGTATATAGTTTAATGGATGGTGAGGGGTCTCTGTATATAGTTTAATGGCTGGTGGGGGGGACTCTGTATATGGTTTAAGGGATGGTGAGGGGGTCTCTGTATATAGTTTAATGGATGGTGGGGGTTCTCTATATAGTTTAATAGATGGTGGGGGGTCTTGGTGTAGGTAAATGGACAGGGCACAGCATTTTATGGAAGTGGTTATGGTCTCTGTGTATAGTTTAATGGATGGTGGGAGGGTCTCTGTATAGTTTAATGGATGGTGGGGGGGGTCTCTGTATATAGTTTAATGGATGGTGGGAGGGTCTCTGTATATAGTTTAATGGATGGTGGTGGGATCTCTGTATATAGTTTAATGGATGGTGGTGGGATCTCTGTATATAGTTTAATCGATGGGTGGTCTCTGTATATAGTTTAATGGATGGTGGGAGGGTTTCTGTATATAGTTTAATGGATGGTGGGGGGGGTCTCTGTATATAGTTTAATGGAGGGTGAGGGGTCTCTGTATATAGTTTAATGGATGGTGGGTGGTCTCTGTATATAGTTTAATGGATGGGGGCTCTCTGTATATAGTTTAATGGCTGGTGGGGGGGACTCTGTATATGGTTTAAGGGATGGTGAGGGGGTCTCTGTATATAGTTTAATGGATGGTGGGGGTTCTCTATATAGTTTAATAGATGGTGGGGGGTCTTGGTGTAGGTAAATGGACAGGGCACAGCATTTTATGGAAGTGGTTATGGTCTCTGTGTATAGTTTAATGGATGGTGGGAGGGTCTCTGTATAGTTTAATGGATGGTGGGGGGGGTCTCTGTATATAGTTTAATGGATGGTGGGAGGGTCTCTGTATATAGTTTAATGGATGGTGGTGGGATCTCTGTATATAGTTTAATCAATGGGTGGTCTCTGTATATAGTTTAATGGATGGTGGGAGGGTTTCTGTATATAGTTTAATGGATGGTGGGGGGGGTCTCTGTATATAGTTTAATGGTGGGTGAGGGGTCTCTGTATATAGTTTAATGGATGGTGGGTGGTCTCTGTATATAGTTTAATGGATGGGGGCTCTCTGTATATAGTTTAATAGATGGTGGGAGCGTCTCTGTATATAGTTTAATGGATGGTGAGAGGATCTCTGTATATAGTTTAATGGATGGGGGGTCTCTGTATATAGTTTAATGGATAGTGGGGGAGGGTCTTGGTGTAGGTAAATGGACAGGGCACAGCATTTTATGGAAGTGGTTATGGTGTATAGTTTAATGGATGGTGGGGGGGTCTCTGTATATAGTTTAATGGATGGTGGGAGGGTCTCTGTATATAGTTTAATGGATGGTGAGAGGATCTCTGTATATAGTTTAATGGATGGGGGGTCTCTGTATATAGTTTAATGGATGGTGGGGGGGGGTCTTGGTGTAGGTAAATGGACAGGGCACAGCATTTTATGGAAGTGGTTATGGTGTATAGTTTAATGGATGGTGGGGGGGTCTCTGTATATAGTTTAATGGATGGTGGGAGGGTCTCTGTATATAGTTTAATGGATGGTGGTGGGATCTCTGTATATAGTTTAATCGATGGGTGGTCTCTGTATATAGTTTAATGGATGGTGGGAGGGTTTCTGTATATAGTTTAATGGATGGTGGGAGGGTCTCTGTATATAGCTTAATGGATGGGGGGTCTCTGTATATAGCTTAATGGATGGTGGGGGAGGGTCTTGGTGTAGGTAAATGGACAGGGCACAGCATTTTATGGAAGTGGTTATGGTCTCTGTGTATAGTTTAATGGCTGATGGGGGTCTCTGTATATAGTTTAATGGATGGTGGGAGGGTGTCTGCATATAGTTTAATGGATAGTGAGAGGGTCTCTATATAATTTAATAGATGGTGGGGGGATCTCTGTATATAGTTTAATGGATGGTGGTGGGATCTCTGTATATAGTTTAATCGATGGGTGGTCTCTGTATATAGTTTAATGGATGGTGGGAGGGTTTCTGTATATAGTTTAATGGATGGTGGGGGGGGTCTCTGTATATAGTTTAATGGAGGGTGAGGGGTCTCTGTATATAGTTTAATGGATGGGGGCTCTCTGTATATAGTTTAATGGATGGTGGGAGCGTCTCTGTATATCGTTTAATGGATGGTGAGAGGATCTCTGTATATAGTTTAATGGATAGTGGGGGAGGGTCTTGGTGTAGGTAAATGGACAGGGCACAGCATTTTATGGAAGTGGTTATGGTGTATAGTTTAATGGATGGTGGGGGGGTCTCTGTA